AGCCTCTGTGACAGAGAGTGGCAGCTGCAGGTGAGGTGCCTGGCTGGGAATGGGACTCCCAAGGAAAACAAGACTTCCACAGGTCAGTATAGAGAATCTATTGAATAAAAGAGAGGAAATATTTTAGCAGGCTGATTTGGTTAGGGTTGGTGGGGGAGGTGCGGGGGGGTGCTTGTTTTTCTCGCCAGGCTCTTTTTGAATCATCCTCACCCTCTCCCTACTGTTCGTCTTGTCTTGCACCGGTCCTGCACTCCCCCCCTGGCTTTGCACCTCCAGACATGACAAGGGAGAACCTCCTTTCTGACGTCTCTCCCAGCTCCGAGTCACTCACCTGCTAATGCCCTTGTAAACTGTAGCGTAAGAACCTTCACCCAGCTTCTCCAAGTTCAAGTAAGAGGAGGCTGCCCCAAACGGGAGGCTCTTCCTCTGCTCCAGGGCAGTGGGCAGATGAGAGGTGGGAGAGAAAAGCAGGTGTTCAGTGTTGACATTGGGCTCCCCGGGGAAGAGAGACAGCCTTGCCGGAGTGTGCGTGGGAAGGCACAAGAACAGCCCTGGAATTAAGAACCAGCCTCCCCAGACAAGCACCCATTAAATTCTTCAGGATCAACAGCATCTGCTCACTCACCCACTGAGAACTCTGCCTCAGACCCTCTTCTTGAAAAGCATCGCTGTGACTGCGTGGCCTTTGACTCTTCTGCTTCCGGGCGCGGACAGCCTGACGTCCCCCAGGGTGAAATGAAGTCATGCAGCCTGGTGCTTCTTCTAGGTCTGTAAGCTAGGAATAAAATGTCTGCAAACTCGAGACTCTGCTGGTTAGCACACATCGCTGTTGTTTTTCTTTCTTTCTGTGCCAGCTTTCTGTTCTGCGAGTGTTTTACTGATCTTTCCCATCTCCCCCAAAGGTACCTTTCCTGAAGGTCAGATCCCTAAAACGACAGTGGTCATTACCAACGATGAAACACTGCATCCTTTCTTCCCTTAAAATCTGCTCTTGGCCCTTAAATTAACCTGAATCTTTTTGATGAACGTTTTCCGACTTCACTCTTTCTAACACAGGCTCTTCTCTGCAGCTTCTTTGCCATCGCTACTGGATTGATCTCCTGAGGGGATCATCTCCTGGCCGGCACTGCCCAGGAATAGGAGCTTATTCTCACAATTCGGAGCCCCTGCATGCCAAGACTGCCAAGTTTACTCTTTGAGATTCAGTTCTGTCATTGCGGGCCGATTGACAGAGAACCACCGTGACGCTCTCTACTTTAAAGCAAGTAATTTTCATGCAGCCCCAAAGCATAAGATAATTTCCCCCTCTCTGTTTACAAGAACATCTCCCGATTTGATAACAACAGTCATCAATCCTCTGTAGCTTTAATAGAATTTTCTTTTTATTGGTTTAGACCTACTGCAGGAAAAAAAATCAGACCCTGCAGTGGAAAGGGAGACTCTCAACTCCTTAGTTTATCCACAGATAAAGATGCTCCCGCCCGGGGTACAAATACCTCCACCACAGTCTCCATCGCCGCAGGCTGAGTCTGCTGACAGCTGTGTGCCTCTCCTCCCTCCGGGCAGAGATAGCAGCTACACTCAGGGGGTAGAGTCTTGGCGCACAGCTCCTGGCCCATGATCTTCTAGGTTCAAGTAGAAAGTCCACACTGGCACCTCTCCCCCTCTGCCTCTCTCCTCGATCGCTTCCCTTTCTGCCAGCAGTCAGCAGTGTTGGAGCTTTCATATGACTCACACGAGGCTCTGCCTGGAACAGCCTCCTGACTTCAGCAGTGTTGTCTTATCTGTGCAAGGCTCTACCTCAGAGAGCCTGCTGTCCTGTCCAGAGTGGCACACCTGCAAGCAGGGTGGCTAAGGTAGGACAGCATAAATCCGGGCTCATGCCACAGGACAGCCACAAGTCAGTGCCCTTGGCCTACATGGGTTGGGTGAATTTACTTTGCTTATCCATGCAAAGGAGAAGGGCACTAATGAGGCTGCCCTGGGGCTAACGTGGATGGGGGTGAGGGGTGGGGGACATTTACTCGTGTCTTTCTCCAGAAAGCATTGTCCTTTTCAATTTTAAAATAAATTTGCAACCCAGCCAATTTTAGCAGGCAAAGAAACCACAGAGAATCATGCAGCAGGAAGAAAGCTGAAGATACCCACCCCATCTCTTCGCCTTGAAGCCATAGTCCCAGAGGGGTCCTTGTGTATTCCTTCCTGTGTTTAAGAATTCTATAGGAGATACCTGCTGAAGAGAATGAACTCTGACTCTCCAGATAATGATAGTAGCCAGTGATAAAGAGGAGTTTGCATGGCTTCTTCCCTTCCCCTTTCCTCTTTCTGCCTCCCACCT